CCAGGGTGGTGGGATCGAGCCCCGCATCGGGCTCTGTGCTGAGCGTGGAGCCTGCTTAAGATTGTCTCTCTCTCTGCCCCTCTCCTCTGCTCAAAAAAAAAAAAAAAGATTAAATGATTAAGATGGTGAATTCTATGTTATGTGTTTTTTACCTCAATTTTAAAAAAGGAATCTGAAGTGACTGTATTAATATTTGACAAAATAGACTTTAAGGAAGAACATTATTACAGATAACAAGGGAAATATCATAATGATAAATGGGTGATGCATCAGGAAAACATAACAATGAAAGTATTTATGCACCTAATATCAGAGCTTCAAAATACCTTAAGAAAAACAAACAGAACTAGGGAGAAATAAGCAAGCCCAAAATCACAGTGAAAGACTTTAAGACCCTGTTCTTGATAATATATAGAACAAGTAAATACACACAAAAAAATCAATAGAATATCTAAAAAACAATACAGATCAGGAATTGGTGAACTATGGTCTATGGGGCAAATCCCATGAATAAAGATTTACTGGAAAACAGCCACATTTACTCGTTTATGGATTGTGGACGGCTGTCTGTGGCTGTTTTCACGGAGTGGAGGGGAGGCAGCAGAGACCATAGGTCTTGCCTCAAATACTTACTACCAAGCCCTTCATGAGAAAAGCTGGTTTTCAAGGGTGTGACTGTTTGGTGGAGCAGTCGCACAATAGCTGTGGACAAGTCGTTGCCAGATAATTCCAACATCTGTGTCAATTTTACTGTTGATGTCTGTTGATTGTTGTTTCCCCACGTGAGATGAGACTTTCTTGGTTTTTCATATGCCAAGAATTTTGGACTGTCTCCTGGAAATTATATTTTGTAATGAGACCCTGGGTCTTGTTTAAATCCTATGCAGTATGTACATATTTTTGTTTTAGGCAATAGACCTGCTTAGGGTCATACCACAAGCTCAACCTGCCTTTTGTGAGTTGTGGTTCACATTTAAGTTGTTTCCAAAGCCTTTGCAGTACAATTTGGATAGACCCTGAACAAGTTACTACTCAGTGGTCATCTGGAGCCTGGTTGATGGTCTGCTGGTTCGGTTCTCCAGTACTTCTCTACAATGCCCCTTTCTGGCTCTATGACCAGAAAGCTGGAGCTGGAAAGTTACTCCATGGTCATGTGCCTCTGTGACTGCTCCCATCTTTGGCCAAATGGCAGGAGGCAGAAAGAGAAACAGAGGTCTGCAGAGCACAGCTAGGCAATTTTGTTCCAGGTGCAATGAGGAGTCTGGAGACTCTGAGCAAGGACATTCCATGTCCAAAAAAATGACTTACATTTTAAGAAGGCCACTATGCCCTGTGAAGAATGGGCTGGGAGAGAGGACGCAGGAAAAGAATGTAGGGGGCCATGCTAGGGATGCAGGCAAAAGGAGAGGGTAGCCAAGGTGTGCAGAGAAGTGAAGAGTCCCCATCTGCTCCTGGTGGGGAGCTGGCACCCCAGAGTGGATTGGCTAAAAGGGGTGGGAACAGGACGCAGCAATGGTGCTTGGTGGGGCTGACACAGAGGAAGACTGGGTGGCTGGGCAGGCTGGTGGGGGAAATCAAGAGTGCCATCTGGGCCACGATGTGTCTGAGAAGACAAGTTGCAACGCAAGCAGAGATGCTGAGGCGGCATCTGGAAGTAGGAGTGTGGTGCTCAGAGGCGAGAGAAGAACTGAAGGAAAGTGTGGTGGAGGGCAGGGGAAGTAGGTGTACGTGCGCACACAGTGCATTTCTCCTCTTTTCTGCTGTATTGGTTAGTGAAGCAGATAAAGACTCTAGAAACAGATGCAACTGTGTTAAAAAAAAAAAAAACCTTATGTGATAAACTGGCATTTCACCTAACGCCACGGGGTATGAGGATTATATGAGTTACAAGTAAGATGCTTAGAAATGCCTGGCACACATTCAGTGTTCACTGCATTGTTTAAATTTCAATTCCAATAGAAAAAGAGTAATTTACCTAGTAAGAGTTATTCACGTAACTTGCTAACCATCTGGAAAAAATGTCAGTTAGATGCTCTACCCTATACTTAAGTAGAAATACATTTCATATTGATTAAAGATGTGCATGGAAGAAGTCAAACTAGAAAAGTATGAGAAAAACATTTGGATGGATAGTTGGTTGTTTAGCCTTGGCATAAATGAGGCCATTTTATTTTATTTTATTTTATTTTATTTTATTTTATTTTATTTTTAATGTTTCACAAATTTGCATATCATCCTGCATGGGCAGGGAGGGGCCATGCTAATCTCTGTATCCTTCCAATTTTAGTATATGTGCTGTAGAAGCAAGCACTAAGCGAGGCTTTTTAAAGCTACACAGGAAACCCAGATCCAGTAATGAAAAACGTTTGACCACATACAAAATCCTATATGGCAAAAATGCTATAAACCATGCCAAAGAAAAATGGTAAGCAAGAAAGTATTGCATTCTATATGACAAGCAGAGGATAATTTTCCCCAAGACACAAAGATCTCCTAGAAGAGAAGATTTCTCTTCACAAGAGAAAATGCAAGCATCAAGGAACATATGAAAAGAGACTTTATCTCACTTGTATTTAGGAGAACCAATGGCTTTCACATTTTCACCCATACAGTCGAACCCAACTTTCTCAGATATTATGCTTAGAGTACAAATTGCTACAACCTGTTTTGGAGGTCTGACAAATACAGATGCGCACATCATTCCACTCAGTAATTTCTCTTTTAGGAATTCAGACAAAAGAAATAAAAAGTACCAGTTCATACAAGATTTTTTGCTGTTGCAAAAATATATGTACTGACCTGGAAAGATGTCTGCGGTCTTTGGTTAAGGAAAAAGGCAAGTTATGTAGTAAGGGACTAACTTTCTAATTTTCGCTTAGCTTTTTTTATGTATGTTTTGGTTTTTTAGTGCATGTGTATGTGTTCGTGGTAGTGGGGACAGTGGTTAGAGGGGATGTTCATACACGCATCCATTTACTTATGTGTGGACGTAGAGGAGAAGATACCTATCTGCTAAACGTCCATCAACCAGTGAAGTAGGATGAAAAGGTGGGAAGAACAGATGTAATAACTTTTCCTTTGAAAAATTAAAATACGTCTATACAGATGTAAATATATACTTTCTTTTTACAAACTTCTGTATCATTTTGACGTAGACAAGCCAGGTCCAGGAACACAGAGGAGGTCCCACAGGACAAGCCAAGAGGGTCCTTGGCTTTGTGCAGGAGAGAAATCAGGAAGTGGGAAGTGAAAGCAGAGTTTATTGAACAGTGTAAGTGACAGAGTATAGCAGACAGTCTCACCACTTGGGGTTAAGAGTTTATATTGAAAGGGTCCAGGGTATGTGTTCCTCCAGGAATCCAGGGTAGGGTTGGATTCGAGGGTGAGTGACAGGTGAGTAATAGTTGTTATTTCAAAAATCATCGCAGGTAGGGGATATCGATGCCAGCGGTGGGTGAGATTTGTTTGAAGCTAATGTCCTGAAACATGTTTGAAATCCAGTTCTTCTTAGATGTTATCAGGCATTTGGAGGCCTAAAACAAAACTCAAAGAATGATTAACTTTCTTGCCTCCTTCTTGGAGTGGGAACATAGGTTATTTGGTTTAGTCAGACGCAAGGTGAAATACAGAACATGAGTAAATGGGGCCTTGCAGAAAAACAGCAGAGATGGAGCCTTTCTAAAAATGGAATCCTTTCAGTTTCCCTATCTCAATTTGAGTCCTTTCAAATACTGAAAATGAAGGATAAAAAAGGGTCTAGTCTCCAGAATATATCTTTTAAAACTCTAACAACTCAACAACAAAAGGCAAACAACCCAATTTTAAAATGAGCAAGGGACTTGAATAGACATTTCTCCAAAGAAAATATACAAGTTGTCAACAAACACATGAAAGGATACTTGGCATCATTATTCACTAGGGAATGCAAATCAAAACCACAGTGAGATGCCACTTCACACTCACTAGGATGGTTAGAATAAAAATACAAGAAAACAAAACAAAAACCAAAGTGGAAAATGAGGGTTGGTGAGGATGTAGGAGAAATTGGAATCCTTGTTAAACATGGCATTACTTTAGGATCCAGCATTTTCACTCCCATTTACCCCCCCCCCCAAAAATAGAAAACATACATGTTCACAGTAGCACTATCCACAGCAGCCAAAAGGAAATAATCCAACTGTCTATCATTGATGAACGAATAAAGACTACTTGGTATACATACGACGTAAAGTCATAAAAGGGAATGAAGTTCTGATATAAGCTACAAGGCGAATGAACACCATAAACATTATACTAGGTGGAAGAATCCGGACACAAAAGATGACAGGTATGATTCCACTTACAAGAAATGGCGAGAATAAACCCACGATTCAGAAAGCGGACTCGTGGTCGCCGGGGCCTGGCAGGGAGGGGAGAATGGGAAGCAACTGCTAAATGGGGAAGGGGTTTTCTTTAGGGTGATAGAAATGTTTCCAAACTAGGTAACAGTGGTGTCTGCGCAACACTGAGAATATACTGAATTGTCAACACTCTCCTATGTGTATTTCACTTCAGTTAACGGGGGTGAAGGTAAGCTCGCTTGTGCACTGAGAGAGTAGGCTGGCCCGCTGCCGCGCTTACCCCGGTGGCCTCCTTGCGGACCCAAGTCCACATCCTCGATGGAGAATCTAGAAGGCGGCGTGGGCTGAGGAAACGACAACAGGGGTATCACATAGGACGGCATCAGGAGCCAAAGGCAGACCGGACGGTCACTCTTTTCCAGCGTCGAAACCACCGCCGGCTCCCGCCACTCCGCGCAGGCGTGGGTCTGAAGCGGATCCGGGGGGACGGGGCGGAGCCTGGGGGCAGGGCCAAGGGCGGGGAGGGGGTCGGCCTGCGCGCCGGGCGGGACTCGAGGGAAACCGGAACGCCTCTGCGGCGGGCGCCTGTTTCCGGGGGGAGCTTGGAGTCCGAGGTCAAAGTCCGGTGCGCTGGGAAGCCGGCTTCCGGAGTCCGCTGTAGTCTCCGGGGCTTAGCGGCGTGGGAGCGGTGGTAGCGATGAGGCAGAAGCATTACCTTGAGGCTGCGGCGCGACAACTCTACGAGAGCTGTCCGGGCCAGGCCCGGTATCTCCTGTAAGAAAGGGGCAGGAGGGGATGCGGGCGGCGGTGGTGGGTCTTCCCTCTTCGCTCACGGTTCTCCTCCTCCTTTACAGCTGGGCCTACAGTTCGTCACACGGTAGGGAGAACGTCCGACGGTTGCGGGTCAGGCGCTCGTCGCCCCGCTCCCCTCCATTCCGCACAGCGCTCAGGATGACCCAAAAGAGAAATCTCATCGACCCACTGCCCTCCTAACCGCCTCCCCCCGCAACTACCCCAGAGGCTTCTGTTTCATGAAAAGTTCCAATTTCCTTGGATCTCTTTTCGTTAACCTCACTTCTTTGTGACAGTTTTTCATCCAGTCTCATGGCTTTTAAATTCTGTATGCTGAGGACTTCCAAATTTGTACCCCCAACCAGGACTTCTCCGCATTCTAGACTTCTATCCAGAAGCCTTCTTGACAATTTCTTTTGAGTGTCTGTTAGGCCAAAACTCGAGCTTTACCTCCCAACCCAGCCTTCCTCTAGTTCTTACCAGTTCAGTTAGTGGGAATTCCATCCTTAGAGTTATCAGCCCCCAAACTCTGGGGCCATTTTTGACTCCCTAACAGCTCTCCTCCCCAAGCCAATATGCCAGCAAATCCTGTTGGCTTTAAAATATATCCAGAATCTAGCCACTTATCACCATCACTTATCATGTTAGTATCCTGGACCACGTCAACAAGCTCATGCATACTACAGTCCATTCTCAATTGAGCAGCCAGAGTAAGCCCAGTAGAAACCTAAGCTAGATCATGTTATTCTTTGCTACAAACTCTCAAATAACTTCCCATCTCAAAGTAAAAGTGAAAATCTTTTAAATGGACTACAAGGACCTACATCAAAGGTCAAGGTTGCCTCTCCAACCTGCTCTTCCCTTTTGTTTACTCAACTCCAACCACTGTTAGCCCTCCTTGTTCTAACGCAGCCTTTGCAGCTGTCCTTCCCTCTACCTGGAATTCTTAACCTTGTGTATCTTCATGGATTCCATTCTCACTCGCTTCCTTCTGCTCTCTACAGAGGTCATTCCACAAAGCTTTCCGTGGCTACCTTATTTAAGACGACAGCAGCTGTGTGGGTGCCTGGATGGCTCAGTTGATTAAGCATCTGACTCTTGATTTGGGCCCAGGTCGTGATCTCACAGTTCGTGAGCTCGAGCTGCGAGTCGGGCTCTGCACTGACAGGAACAGTTCCCCCTTTTTCTGCCCATCCCCTGCTTGCTTTCGCTCTCTCTCAAGATACATAAAAATAAACTCTAACAAAAAAAAAAAAAAAAAAAAAAAAAAAAAAAAAAAAGGACTTCAGCACCTCCATTGCCACTCCCTATTCCCCTTTTTTTCCCCAGCACTTAGTATTTGGTGTTGCCATATTTACTTTCTCTCTCCATGAATTGTCCTTTATTCACTGTTTTATCTCTTGCACGCAGAACTCTTCCTGTCACTTTACAGTCACTAATAAATATGATTGAATTTAACATTTGGCAGAGCTGGGTTACAAGCATGGTCTTTAGTTGTATATGTAGAGTGCTCGCCAATAAATATTTGTTGAATAAATTGATGGTGTACCCACCTTCCTTTCCAGCTGCATCACTTCCCCAACCTCACCTTTCCCTAATAGCCGTGCTTTCTTTTTCACTGTACTTCTGCCTGAAAGCCCTTTTCTAATAATAGACGCCATTCTCTAAATATAGGTATTTGACCTCTCTCAGGCCACTTCTTTTGGAGTGTTTCTGCCTGGTCTATACAGAGTTTAATAATTTCCAGGGCATTTTAATTATACTCTATTACAGTTCTTACCAGAACTGTATTTTCTTTTGCTTAGGGCTCACCTAGAATGTGAGTTCTTTAAAGATAGCAACTCTCTTACTCCATATTTATGTCTCCCTAGCCCAGTGTGGTAGATGGCTGTCTTGATTGCGTAAACAGTCTGGGGCAAGTCTGTTGTCCTTTTACCTTGCACTGAGAATTATCTGCAGAAAGCCTGGCCCACAAATCACAAAATTATGCTAATTGTTTAAAAAAGAAATCAGTATAATTTATTGTTTTATGATAAATATGTAAAATTGGCAAGATCGTCTTTTTTACTTAGTAACAAGTAACGAGTAACATCGCAAAGAATCGGGACTTAACCTGTCGCTAAAAGGAATGAATGGATAGAATTAGTGTTTTGCAAAATGAATTGTTGCCAGTTTATCTTCTTGTAAGTTCTATTTTGAGTTTGCTTAAGGAAAATATATATCTGCTTATATTAAACAATACACTTTTTCACATAATATTGGCTTGAGGTAACAAACTATTCTGATGGACTAAATCATGAGTTTCATCTGTATAATTTCAGATGATAACAACGCTTTTGAAGGAACATGTCCATACTGTTTCCAGTTGCTGGTCTCGGATAACTCTCGAGTGCGCCTCAAACCCAAATCCAAACTGACACCCAAAATACAGAAACTTCTTAACCGAGAGGCAAGAAATTGTACACTCAATTTTAAAGAAGCAAAAATTGTGAAAAAATACAAAGACTCCAGAAGTGTATTGGTAAGATTTCAATTCTAGTATGTATAAATAAACTAGAATTTTCTTTTACTTAAATTGAAGTTGGTTAAAGATCAGACTACATATAACTCAGAAGTTTGTGATCATACATTCAGATTGTCAAAATATATACATAAGTTTTTCTTCTAGTGATGTTCCATCAAGAGTAAAGCTTATTTTTAAAAAATTTGTGATTGAAGTATATAGTTGACATACTAGTTTCAAGTTTACACATAGTGATTTGACAATTACATTATGAAATTCCTACTATTAAGTCAGCCTCTGGAGCTAATGGAGTGAAGAGGTAGGAGAATGTGAGAATTCATTTGATTGGTTTTATAAATTAACTTAGACCTATATTTGCAGAATCACTAAGAGTTTGAAGAGGTCACTTAAAATTTCAGTGATAATTTGCCATGTTTTATTGGAAAACCACTTGGAGTTTGTCTGCAACAAATGTTAAATGTCAACTGCTGTTGTAAAGAACATCCTTCCAGATGTCAAAGGGTTTCAATGACAGTCTCCTCCATTCTCCCCAAACATGGTTTTATATTGAGAACGTAGAGGCTTTGTTATCTTTAAAAGGTGTTTTAGGGGAACCTGGCTGGCTCATTGATCTCAGGGTTGTAAGTTCAAGCCCCCACATTGGGTGTAGAGATTATTTAAAAGTAAAATCTTTAAAAATCAAATGAAAATAAAAAGGTGTTTTGAATTAAATACAAATGTTTAACCAGTAACTTTTTATCGAAGATTTTCTCATTTTAAATTTGTATCTTGTCTGATTGCTGCCGCTAGATTATAAACTCCCTCAGGGGAGCCCCTGTTACTCACCAGTATTGCCTGGTGTAGTCCCTTATGTACAAGAATTTAATGAACATGTAGTTTATTGGATTAAATTGGAAAAGAAATCAGGCCCAGTATTTCTTCTTTTTTATGACAGTTGATTACTTGTAAAACATGCAACAGAACAGTTAAACATCATGGTAAAAGTAGAAGCTTCCTATCCACACTGAAGAGCAGTCCTACCACTCCTACAACTAAACTCAGCCCGAAGACACCAGAGAGAAAGACTCCGAGTTCCACAAACCTAAATCACACGTGTGGTTCCAAAGGCAAGAGGCCAGCCTTTGTATTCAGGTATCTGAATTCATTAAGCTATTTGAATTGCTGGTGTTAACTCTTATTTCTTCTAATTTCCTTTGTTTAATATACACTCCCTAAATTTGCCACGCAGGTTAGGCCTTGGCCCCTTTTTTCCCTCCATATCCTTTTCTTTTCTAATGTCCTATGCTCCCATGTTTTTCATTCTCCTCTCTGTTTATAACTTCCAGGTATATTCCTCTACTTCATCCTCTCCTGGGCCCGTTCCCAGCTGCCTGCTAAATACATCCATTTTATCCCCCCACCATGTCCCCACAGCTGACTACTCAGACCTCTTCATCCTCCTAAGTTCCTTATTCTGTCAGTGAACATGCCCTTGACATTCTGACCTGACATGGTGAGTAGAGTTGACAGCTCCTACTCCCTTGGTCCTTGTCCATTTAGTTGCCAGTTTCCATCTGTCCTACCTCCATGGTGTTTGCACCTGTTCTCCTTTTTTCCTACTGCTGTGTTCAGGTCTGTATCCACCTTTTGCTGGGATTTACTACTGTAATGGATTACTGTATTATCCAGTAAATGGATTATTTTGCTGGATTACTATAGTTAATTTCTTGCTTCTAGTTTCAAACCCTTCTAGCCCGATCATTTCCCTAACGCACAGCTCTGATTAGAAGCCTTTCACACTTCACCTCCGTAGCATTTGGGTCAGATGTTCCAGCCTGGCTTCCCAGCCCTTATTACCTGGCACCAATCTGTCTGCCTGTTGTACTTTACCTTAATTCATCTTACGTATCAGCAAAACTGAACCACTCAGTTTACTTTCTTGCTCTAAACCTTTGTTCTTGGTATTTCCTCTGATTTCCTCTGTCAGAAGTTCCTATGGAAATCTTGCTGAATAGGGATTTGTCAGGTGCTACTAAATTAACTGTATGACTGAGCACATGTCTTATTTTTGTAGTTCACAGTACTGTATTCACTTTGATAGTCAGTAAATTTAGTTTCATAGAAACTGGGAAAGGAATTTTTGGACGTTTTTTGCCGCAAGAGAAACAGTCTGGTAGTTTCTTGAATATAAATAACATAAGTCAGCAAGGACTGAATTATCTCTGTTTACTGAATTGAGTTTTTTATATTTATAAAAAATATATATATATTTTTTATAAAGTGTTGACATTTATCAAATTGGGTAAGAATTAAAATTTCAAGTCCAGTTTTCTCCATATTTTGATTTAATTATTTTGATATCTGGCTGGTAGGAATTCATCACAGAAGTTTCTACTTTATTGGACAAATATAGATAAAAGAGGATTTGGCATATTTAAAATAATTAACTTGTATTTAGACCAGACTGCTTTTTAGATATATGCAGGAATGGGAAAGATGTTTCACATTTATCATACAGATGGGGAGTGGAAGAAGGATCAGACTGACAAACCCCAATAAGGGTTCGTGGGTGTGGAACACAACTGGAGGGCATGAAATAGAAGGAAGCTAAATACATACACAGCAGCTGGAGAACCATTTATCCAGGGAATATTTTTAGAAGACCCCTTCTGTGCCTGGCACTGCTAAGTAGCGGGGGAATGCACGACTAGTAGTACACAGTCTACCCTGGGGAGCTTACGCAGGCGGGGAGATACGATGGAGTGGCACCTGCATGTGGAGGTTGAGTTCTTCAGTTTTGAGAAGGAAGTGATCTTGAGCTGTGAAGAAACAGGTTTTTAAAGTCCTTAGAATTGTCAGGAATCCCAATGTCAGACTTAAAGGGAACTCAGACCCGATGACACTTTACCTTTAGCCTTCTTGAGGTTTGATGGAAACTTCCAGAACCACCCAGCATACCTCCTGAATATTGCCTAGAGCCTCTGTAGTCAGGGAGTTTTTAACAAAATGGGAAATGAATGCTGGGTCCAGCCACTGCTCATATGTGGCCATAATACACAAGGGTAGAAAAGGATTCTAGTAGCAATTATCTAGGCTAAGTAGGAAAAACACTTTTAAAACTTACTTATCAGTATACCTAAGTGTGGTTTTATGTTTGTTTTCAGGACACCGACATCTGGACAGTCAACACCCACCTGCTCAAAGAGTGTGAGCAAAACTAAGAAACACTTCTCTAAATTAAAATTGTTGCTTAGTCGGAGTGAATCCCAAAAGAATTCAAAGGTGGACTTCAGAAATTTCTTACTGTCTTTGTAAAGGATAGTCTGTGAAATAAATGTTTTGTTTTGTTTTGTTTTTTTAACGTTTATTTACTTTTGAGAGAGAGAGACAGAGCTCAAGAGGGGAAGGGCCAGAGAGAGAGGGAGACACAGAATCTGCAGCAGGCTCCAGGCTCTGAGATGTCAGCACAGAGCCCGACGCGGGGCTTGAACTCACGAACCGCGAGATCATGACCTGAGCTGAAGTCGGACGCTTAACCACCTGAGCCACCCAGGCGCCCCTGTGAAAATAAATGTTTAATACAACTCTGAAACTAAAGTTAGTCACAAAAACATCTTTTCTAAAACTTTGATTATTTAAATACATGGAAACTAAGGTCCAAGAGCAAACTTCTCTGGGCTCTTTTCAATGTTGATGGAGAAAATGCTTCATTAAAATTAATAACTGAAACCTGTCTACTTCACAGGGTGGCTGTGAGGATCAAAAATATATGAAAGGTCCTTGTCAATAGCAAAGATATTATGGACATTGAGTGATTATTATTTTCTCTTCCCTTAATTAGCAGTTTTCTTTCATAAGGAAATTGAGACCTTTATGAAAGGGCCTACTCCCCTCTAGGTGTCTATCATTGCTAATTCGGGAAAAGGATCAAGTGTCCTTGTTTTCCACAATCATCTGCATAACTGTATTAGAAGAGCTGAACATGATTCTTGTTTTGCATGCAAAAGTAAATATATGGAACATTCTTGATTCTAAATCATTCATATACACAAAATTTCATTTTTACAAATTTGTTGTTCCTAGTAATATCCTAGTAATATTTTATAATGTGTGGCATTTCATTTGCTTTGGTGAAGACTTATTTCTGTGCCTAAAATTTACAGCAGAATATAACATAGTAACAGTTTAGCTATCTTAAACCTTTTCTGGAACATAGATATACCACAATGAAAGGCTGGGGTTGTATTCAACCTGTCTTTTAAAAATTCTTTAAATAAATAATTTAGATACTTTAAACTATAAACTGTTTCCAAGCCTCTCTGCTGCTTAAAAATTTTAAACTTAAGTTTCTCCCATGAGCACTTGGCAGACTGAAAGGCCAAGGTTATTAATGAATTGGTCTTATATGAAGTGAAATTATACTAACTAGTGCCAGCGTCAGAGAGGGATGGCTACAGTCATCATTTTGAACTTCTTTAGCCATAGGGAGGCTGGACCTTCCCTTTGTGTCCAGGGCACCTAGCACAATACTTTGGTCATGGTGCTTTACCTTTCTGGCTAACTTCTCACTGGAACATGTTTCTCTTCTTGCCCTTGCTTCCTTACCACCATTCCTGATCACCCATAGTGAGCTCTTTGTAGTTCTTAGAACGTATCATTTCTCGTCAGCTTTGGGCCTTGGCATGCTTTTGCATACTGTCCTTCACTCCAACCCCACTGCATTATGAGGGGCCACTCTTATAAAAGTGGTGACCCGGTAGTTTCCTGTTTCTGACTGTGTCCTCAACTGCCTGTCAGCTCTTTGCAGGCCTGGATGATCTCATTTGATTTGCCCCTAGCACATAGCACAAGTTTTCCAAATATCCCTAAGCCACCACATTTACATTTGAATTCCTTACCAGGTTTAGAACTAAGGTCCTTTTTTTTTTTTTTTTTAATTTTTTTTTTCAACGTTTATTTATTTTTGGGACAGAGAGAGACAGAGCATGAACGGGGGAGGGGCAGAGAGAGAGGGAGACACAGAATCGGAAACAGGCTCCAGGCTCTGAGCCATCAGCCCAGAGCCCGACGCGGGGCTCGAACTCACGGACCGTGAGATCTTGACCTGGCTGAAGTCGGACGCTTAACCGACTGCGCCACCCAGGCGCCCCTGAACTAAGGTCCTTTTAATCATATGACTGGGAAATGGATAAGAAGTAGTAAAAGTAGGGGCACCAGGGTGGCTCAGTCGTTGTGTCAGACTCTTGGTTTCAGCTCAGGTCATGATCTCATGGTTCATGGGTTTGAGCCCCACATCAGGCTTACTGCTGACAGCACGGAGCCTGGAGCCTGCTTCGGATTCTGTGTCCCCCTCTCTCCCTGCCCCTCCCCTGCTCACACTTTGTCTCTCAAAAATGAATAAATGTTAACATTAAAAATAAAAAGTAGTAAAAGGAACTTCTAGGTGGGGAGTTATTACCTCAGTTGCAAATGAAAAACCATGGATTCTTTCTTTTGTGTTTGGTAGAATGGTCTTTGGGCATCTCTAAAGAGAATATTAAAATTATACTGTGGACATAAAACTTTAGAAGAAAACCTAGAACTAAATCTTCATAGCTTTGGATTAAGCAATGGTTTCTTAGTTATCACATCAAACACAAGCAACAAAAGAAAAAATAGATAAATTGGACTTCACGTTAAAAACTTGTGTTTTGTTTTTTTCTTTTAACGTTTATTTATTTTTGAGAGAGAGAGATAGAGCACGAGCAGGGGAAGGGCAGAGACAGCGGGAGACACAATCAGAAGCAGGTTCCAGGCTCTGAGCTGTCAGCACAGAGCCCAATGCAGGGCTCAAACCCCCACGAACTGCAATATCATGACCTGAGCTGAAGTCAGACTGAGCCACCTAGGCACCCAAAACCTGTGTTTCAAATGAGGACACCATCAAGAAAATGAAAAGCCACTGAATGGAAAAAATGTTTGCAAATCATGGATCTCTTAAAAGACCTACATCCAGAATTATAAAAACTCTTAAAATTCAATAATAAAAAGACAAAACACGGACAAAGATTCTGAGCAGACAATTCCCCAGAGAAAATAAATGGCCAGCAAGCACATGAAAAGATGCTGAACATCTTCTATCTAACACTCATTAGGGAAATGCAAATCAAAACAGAGATACCTACCAGTTCATACCCACTAGGATGGCAAAAATAACAAAGACAGTAACAAGTGTTAATGAGAATGTGGTGAAATTCAAACTCACATCACTGGGATTGTAAAATCTGTGCAACCACACTGTAAGAATTTGGCAGTTCCTGAAGAAGTTAAGCATAAAGTTACCATATGACCCACATTATATACCCAAGAGGACTGAAAACACGAAATCTTACATGGGAGTATTCGTAGCAACATTTGTAATAGCCAAAAAGTGGAAACAACCCAAATGTCCATCAACTGTCGAATGAACATATTCCATCCATATGGTGGAATACCATTCAGCTATAAAAGTGAATTAACTGATACATGCTAGAACATGGATGAACCTTGAAAATATGTCATTTGAAAGAATGCAGACACAAAAGGCCACATATTGTATGAGTCCATCTATATGGAATGCTTAGAATAGGAAAATACATAGAAATGAATTAGTGGCTGCCTGAGGCTACTAATCTGGCTACCTGTTCCTGGGGGAACAGGGAATAACTTAACCAGTATGTAGTTTTTTTAGGGTGAGGAAAATTAGGGTTCTGGAATTAGGATCACACAACTCTGAATACTCGAACCCACTAAATTCTACACTAAAAGGGTGAATTTTATCTCAGTAAAGCTTTCATTAAAAAAATGAAAATAAACATTACCTAAACAGATTACAGTATGGATACTTTGGTTTAAATGAACATGATAGTATTGGGCCTGGTGTGGGAGGGAGCGTAGCAGCGCAGGCAGTGAACAAGATGCAGTGCTGAGGCTTGATCCTTGCCCTCCTCACCCTGCTGGTGCTCACCAGCACGGTGGCCAAAAAGAAAGACAAAGTGGGGGTGCCTGGGTGGCTCAGCTGGTTAAGCGTCAGACTCTTGCTTTCTGCTGAGGTCATGATCTCACGGTTGGTCAGACAGAGCCCCAGTCGGGCTCTGCGCTGACGGTGCAGAGACTGCTTGGGATTCTCTCTCTCTCTCTCTCTCTCTCTCTTTTGTTCTCTAAGTAAATAAACTTAAAAAAAAAAAAAAGACAAGTGAAGAAGGGCGGCCCCAGGAGTGAGTGCACGGAGTGGACCTGGGGGCCTGGCACCCCCAGCAGCAAGGACTTCAGCGTGGGCTTCTGCAAGGGTACCTGTGGTGCCGAGACGCTGCGCATCCGGTGCAGGGTGCCTGCAACTGGAAGAAGTGGCTTGGAACCGACTGCAAGTACAAGTTTGAGCTGGGGGCGGGGGGCATGTGACGGGGCACAGGCGCCAAAGCCCGCCAAGGCACTCTGAAGAAGGCACAGACCAATGCCCAGTGTCAGAAGACCATTCCCGTGACCAAGTCCTGCACCCTCAAGGCCAAAGCCAAGAAAGGGAAGGGAAAGTCCTAGCAGCCAGGTCTGGATGCCAAGAACCCAGGGCCCATGCCCTCCCTCCCACAGACCCAAGATCTAATTTACCAGTGCCTTTTGTCCGCTTATCAGTCCTACCCTGCTTCTTCCCTCTCACTCCTCCACCCACACCTCCAAGTGTCCCAGATGGGGAAAGACAGGGATTGTGGACAGCTTGATGTATTTCCTGGTACATCCCCACAGACGCCATTACTAAGAAACAAAATAAACCCTCATTCCCACTACCACCTCCCCACCAACTGGGACTAAACTTACAACAGGAATTTTATGAATAAAAATAAATTTGTATAATCATACTAGCAATTTGAAAAGAAAATTTTTCTTTAATTTAAAAAAAAATTTTTTAGGGGCACCTGGGTGGCTCAGTCAGTTGAGCGTCTGACTTCGGCTCAGGTCATGATCTCTCGGTTGTGGGTTCGAGCCCCAGATCGGGCTCTGTGATGACAGCTTGGAGCCTAGAGCCTGCTTCAGATCCTGTGTCTCCCTCTCTCTCTGCTGCTCCCCCGCTCACGCTGTCTCTCTCTCTCAAAAATAAACAAACATAAAAAGAATTTTAAAATAATATTTATTTTTGAGACAGAATGTGAGTGGGGGAGGGGCAGAGAGAGGGAGACAGGATCTGTAGCAGGCTCCAGGCTCCAAGCTGTCAGCACAGAGCCCGATGTGGGGCTCGAACCCATGAACCCTGAGGTCATGACTTGAGCTGAAGTCGGATGCTTAAACCAACTGAGCCACCCAGGTGCCCTTTAATTTTTTTTTGAAATGTTTATTAATTTCTGAGAGAGAGAGAGTGCGAGTGAAGGAGGGGCAGAGAGAGAGAGAGAGAGACAGGGACTCTAAAGCAGGCTCTGTGCTGTTAGCATAGAGTCCAATGTGGGGCTTGAAGTCACAGACCGTGAGATCATGACCTGAGCTGAAGTTGGATGCTTAACTGACTGAGGCACCCCACATATTTTCTTTTAAAATAAATTATGGAGACAAATTTTTCCAGAGACTACTTGCTTTAACTAAGTACAATTTTAATTTTCTATTTTGATGTTTAAATTGTTATATCTTGGCCAATGGGAGCCCCCTTTAAACTAGCTTTATTCTTTCAACCCCAACAGAACTTCGAAAGTGCCCTCCTTGCTGTCTTACAAAGAAATTTCCAGGACCCTCTTCACTCTCTCAGGCCTATGGCATGGAGGCTTCCACTTTCCCAGAAACCTGGCTAATTTTGAGCAGAAAGTAGTGATGCCAGAAACAGGAGATAATTCTACTGAGGGACAGTAATGGTACTGCTACCAGATCCCTCCAGAGTAAGGGCTGGAAAAGATGAATTCTTAAAAATCCTGAGTTCTCATATCTTTAAAAAATTTTTCAACGTTTACTTATTTTTGAGAGAGAGAGACAGCATGAGCAGAGGAGGGGCAGACTGAGAGGGAAACACAGAATCCAAAGCAGGCTCCAGGCTCTGAGCTGTTAGCACAAAGCCCAACACGGGGCTCGAACCCATGAATGGTGAGATCATGACCTGAGCCGATGTCGGATGCTTAACCAACTGAGCCACCCAGGTGCCCCTGAGTTCTCATCTTTAAAATTTACCTCTGACATCATCACCAAATGCTTAGTTACATGTTTTAGCCCTTCAACCAAATGATAGTATCTTATAAACCATAAAATTATTCCTTTAATTATAATTCTTAATTCTGACCAAGAATTACTTGTTTGGGAGGCAGTACAGCCTGCTGGTCAAGACTGTAGTCTTTGCAGTAGGCAGTGCCATTTAATTAACGGTGCAATCTTTGGCACTCTTAATTTCTGAGAGTTTGTTTCTTTATATGTAAAGCGACACTAATAATAGTACTTTACCTGATGAGGATGCTGTGAAGACCCAATGCGATCGTACATGAAAAACACCCAGAAGAGTGGCATATGGAAAGTGTTCAAGCAATTTGTGCTGTTATCGTAATGGACTCCCCCAAATCTATAAGATATGAACATCAACATCAATTAAAAACATAACAGAAGAATAATAAGGTCTAGCATTATCCTAAGGTGGTTGTCCTTGGAATGCATCTCACTGATGTAGGCAAACTGTTTTGAGGTATTTGTAAAAAAATCGTTGCGATTATATTGATGAACACTCTCTTCTTGACCAAACATTACACAGGCTTCTCAGAGCCCCAGGTTTGACGAGGCATCTTCCTTGGGCTCTTCCACCTGTCTAGCCCCGTTTAAGCAAGAATTCCCCCACCCTTTTTATCTGATCATCGTGGCCTGCTTTTGACGAGAATCCCATTACCCTTGATGTCTCCCTTTACTGATTTTCTACCCATTAACCCCCTCGGTCTGTTCCTTTGCTATAAATCCCAAGCTGTCTTTGACATCTTCAGAGTTGAGCCCCATAGGTCTCCCATGGGGATAATCTTGATACATAATACAAAAGTCCTGAAGAAAAGTCTTTCTTACCCTTTTAACAAGTGTTAGAATAATTTTTTTCTTGGACAATATCAACACCTGTCAAGTATTTCTTCGTCTAATTGTTTAAATTCACATTCAGTTCAAAGCAGTTCAGTGTTCTAACAAGTGGAAACTTACTTTGGCACTTGGTTCCTTGAGGTGGCATGTAAGTAGTGGAGATTGAGGGAAGTCTGATCTGTGAATTCACCTCAAGAAATGCAGAAAATCCAGTGGTTCAGTCTCCAAAGTTCTGTCTAAGGGTCCTTGCCACAGCAGTTGCATCCTCCTGGAGTGGCTCAATGCGTAGTTGGAAGCACAAGATTTTTATACACAAGTTTCTCTGGAATAATTCCAAATCATCTTTTACTTTTCTCAAGGACAGAAACTGTAGCAACACTTTTGGAATTAACAAATTCTTTTAGAAACTGGGCATCCCAAAATGTTAGTTTTAAACCTGGGTACCATGATCAATTGTCATTAAAGTTAACAGACAAAAGTTTAAAGTATACAGTTTTTAATACATTCAATTCAATTTGTTAAGCCCTTTTACCCTTGTTTTGATATGAAATATTTTAAATTTATCTTTCCTGACCAATTAGCTTTTTAGAGAACATTTCCTTACTAACTTTAAAATGCAATTACATACACACATATGCATCAAACATACATATAATTTACAATATTTAAAGTATGTCTTTAAATCCTTAACTTTGAAAAATATACAATCTTCAGGGATTCCTGAGTGGCTCAGTTGGGTAAGCATCCAACTCTTGATTTCGGCTCAGGTGAAATCATGATTTCAGGGTTGTGAGATCAAGCCCCTTGTAGAGCTCTGTGCTGGGAGGGGAGACTGCTTAAGATCCTCTCCCTCTCTCTTTGCCCCTCCCCCACTCATGCTCTCTCTAAAAAACAAACAATTCAGTGGAAACATACCTCCTTGCTAATACTTGAATAGTATAGATTGGATAATGAATTCTTTTAGAAGTATTATACTTTATGTACTGTTACTTTATGTCTCAGTTTTAATTGAACATTAAGGGAAGGTGGTACTTAGAGAGTGACAGAGAGAGAGTGTGAATGGGGAAGAGGGAGAGAGACACACAGAATCCAAAGCAGGCTCCAGGCTCTGAGCTGTCAGCACAGAGCCCAACGCGGGGCTCGAGCTCACAAACCACAAGATCATGACGTAAGCCCAAGTTGACTGTTCAACCGACTGAGCCACCCAGGTGCCCCAGGAATGCAGTATTTTAATTATAACTCTGTCAGTATCTTTATCTAGAGGACTGTTGCCATTTTTGTCCTTTATTTTTTGTCACCAAGAAAAGCAGGATTACATTTTTTTTTCTTTCAGATGGACTTGCTGTAGTGTGTTCTTGGTTATCAATATACTCATGGTTTGGGGACTTTGAAATGGTAAATATTCATGGTGTGTGAAAAAGCATGACACATAACTGTACAATCTTAATTACATGAAAATGTTTAGTTGTGTAGATACACACATGGGACCTAGAAGTCAAACTGTGATTATGGATGACTTTGGTCTTTATTTCTTGTGTTTTTCAGTTTTCTTTCATGCACCTCTTAACTTTAAATAATTTTTTAACCACCCCCCCCCCCAAAAAAAACCCAGGAAATCATACTAATTTGAGATTGGTTGTTTCATCATTTCATTCTGAACTAAGGAAAAAGACCACACAAAACTCATGTAAAGGTTAGATAGTGGTGTTAAGTATCTATGTTTTGGGATTTTGCTTCAGTATCTTGGAATTACATTTACAGCGTATAGATCTAAATAATAATTCTGCCTGTTAGGATTAGCTAGCTATACTACCAGCTACTTTTTTTCATAGACCCTCAAGGAAACACCAAGCAGGATACCTGGTATTTAAATATGATTGTATGTGACTAATAAAAAGAGACAAATAGAAGTTTTTTAAGTTAGGTCTAAAATTTTCTTGTAACTTTTTAACTTTGTAGCAAAAGCATACCTATTTTATTTACTTACTAGTGACAGTTTTTATCTTTTTAAAAGTAGTTTTATGTTGAATTCCCAAGTCAATACAAGCAATGTTTCTGAATTTTAAATACATACTCAAACTTCTGCCTTTGCATTGATCAAATACCTTTTAGACATCTGGAATATAAAGGAATAGTTGGGTGGCTACCTTCAAGATTCTGTTTAAACTGCTTAAACTGTTTAATTTTTTTTAAAACTTTTTAATGATTACTTATTTTTGAGAGAGAGAGAGAGAGAGAGAGAGAGAGAGAGAGAGAGAGAATATGAGTGGGGGAGGGGCAGAGAGAGAGGGAGACACAGAATCCGAAGCAGGCTCTAGGCTCTGACGGGGCTTGAACTCACGAATCGTGAGATCATGACCTGAGCTGAAGTCGGATGCTCAACCAACTGAGCCACCCAGGCGCCCCTGCTTAAACTGTTTAAAACTCTCATTTGGACTTAGGGATTTTGCAGGGAGCGTACTCCTCTGCTAAGATTTCTGTTAAGTCCTGTGTTGTTTCCTCATATCAATTCAGTAAGG